GCATTGCATCACTTGCTCACCAATGGATCCTCTGCAGTGAATGGGTGCCGTCATTATGGATCATGGACTCGTATTTTAGCCAGAACTGACAGTTTAAAGTTAAAACGCTTTAATGATGGATTTGTTTCTTACAAACACAAAACTTTTCACTTCACAAGACATTAACTGATGGACTGGAGTGGAGTGGATTACTTGTGATGTTTTTATCAGCTGTTTGGACTCTCATTCTGACGGCACCCATTCACTGCAGAGCAAGTGATGCAATGCTACATTTCTCCAAATCTGATGAAGAAACAAACTCATCTACATTTTGAATGGCCTGAGGGTGAGGAAATATTAAGCACATTTTCATTTTTGGCTGAACTATTCCTTTAAAGGAGAAGTTCTGATGTCATTGTTGGTCCAAACCCTACTGAATGTGGTACTGCAGTACTGTTTGGGTGTACTGTTGCTTTAAATCTTTTCCCCTGCTTTCGTTCTCTCTCTCTTTCTCTCTCTCTCTCAGCGTCACAGAGGGTTGGTGTGGAGAGACGGGGAGGCGACGGGGCCCGGCACATTCCAGAGCACAGAGGGGTTGCGTTTGCCCTCAGCAGGGACGGCAGACCTGTTGAACTGCTCTCAGCTGGCCTCGCTTTCAGCTCAACAGATGTGGGAGAGAAAAGAGGTCCGTCCCACCAGAGAGACCCCAGAGATCAGCGTTCCCAGAGACGGAGGGGAATCCCTTTCGTTCGGGTGGGACAGCAAACTGAACTCATAAGAACATGTCCAGATCATATTTCACCTCAAAACCAAAAGGAAAAAATTTGATTTTGTATAACGAAAGAAGATTATTTTCATGAAGCACGTATTACCCAAATTCTCATTACAGTAATCTAAAAATAATTGATATATATTATTTGTAATAATAGATATTATTGATATATTATACATAGAATACACAAACTGAGGGATGAGTCAAAGTCATAATCAGCTGAGCTTAACTTGTATTGTTCATGTTACTGTATGTTCAGAAAGTTTCATATATTATGAGTTATTTTAGTATTATTTACTTACTATTACAGTATATATATTCATATTTTGAATGAGCTTTTATGTTATATTTTCAGTCTCCATTTAAATTTTAGTTAATTTTTTAGTAATTTTGTTGTGATTTTGTCATTTTTACCATTACAAAACACATTTTTTTCTGTCTT